AGGTCTTTCTGCAGTCCCTGCTATGCCTGGTGTGCTCACCCTGCCCCAGGCACCCAGCTGGATGCAGAGCTGCAGCACTGGGATGGGATGGGTACACCCCAAGGCCTGGGGGAGCAGGGTCCTGTTTCCTCATGACCTCCCTTGCTGCCATTCACCCACAGGACAAAACCAACATCACCTTCATCAGCCAAGAAATCCTCTCCTGGGTGCCCCAACATGATACCGGGGCACCAGGTTGGGCCACAGAGCAGGGAAAAGACAGGCAAGAGCACAGCCAGAGATCAGAAAGAACCAGCTCTCAGCACAAGCCACAATTTGATTGGGAAAACTTGACCTTCCCCTCGTTTTACATGTTAGCAAATTGTTCTACTACTAATTACAAAATGTTTGCCATTATTATTTAAGAAATCACTTTATAAATCCTATTGTTTCCAATCTTCTGTGATGGCTAAGTAGAGGAAATCAATAACTATCACCAGGGATGCTCACTGGGAGAGGACGATAAGGGAGGGAGACCAGCATGGGGCTGCTCACTCCCTGACACTCAGCTGGACAGATGTGCCCCTCCTGCTGCCCCTTCCCCAAATCCTGCCCTCCCTGCACAGGGCAAAGGGAAGGACAAACAGAGAAAGGACACAAAGAAGCCAAGGGGATGAAGACCAGAAGAAACCCAGGCACAGCTTTGGCAAAGGCTGGGCACAGCCTGGCACGTTACTCAGCAATAAAAGGTAAAAGAAAGGATGGGGTAGGGGACTGGCTGCCATGTGGAAAGTCAAGGATGTCTGGGAGCAAGGATGCTCTGTATCACAGCTCTGATTTCGTGGGGTTCTGTTTAATTTTGCCCCCCTGCCAGCTCAGATTTCCAGCTGCTGGAAGCAAGCAGGTCGGCTGATTATCCTGAGCTGTGCTAGCTTGGAGGCTCCCGAACACACTACAACAGGAATTTGCCAGGAGGGAGGGGAAAATCAAAAGCAAGACAAGGTCAGGACGCAGCAGGACTGCTCTCTCACCCCTTCTTCCCGGGTTTATAAATACAACACAGAAATTCAGCACAAAGCTGCTTTAGACACAGAGTTTCCCCTTCTCTGTGTGCCAGAGTCAGCGCCTGGTACTGGGAAGGGCCCAGAAAGGCAGTGTGATTCCAGCAGACAAAACTCAGTGCCCCACCTCAAAGCCAAAAGGGATGAAAGCAGAGACACTCAAGACTGGCAGCATTTTATGAGCGGTTACTTTGCCATCATTAGGTTTCAGAGTTAAACACCAGCAAGAGAAAGGGTTTGATAATCTTCCTCGAGGAGAACAAACAAAATCCGCCCAGCACACTTATCCAAGGTCTCCAGCGGTTTTCCCCACCTCCCAGTGATCTCTGCTCCTGCTCTTCCTCCCACCTCCTCCCCAGCACGATGATGCATTGCACCTTGACCACGCAAGGAAGCCATAAAGCAAGGCTGAGGGACGGGGCCGAGCAAGACGAATGGATTTAATATCAACCTGAACGGTGCGTGGGCTATCACACCGAATGAATTATTCATCCTGGATTCAATAACAGCCTCCATTTCACGCTGACCCACCGATCGCGCAGGCACGAGGTGCCAGGAGGATGGGGCAGGCAATCCACTGGGGCCTGAGGAATGGCACGAGTCAGGAGGTCTGGGACAAATCCCAACCAGCCTGGGATGGTCAGATGGACAAAGACAATCCCCCTCGCTCCCAGATCCATCCTGGCACAGTGCTGATGAGGACTCCCCATCCCTCTGACCCTAAAACAGGATAATCTGTCTGGGGCCCCATGACAGCACAGCCTCCCTCCCAGAGGTGTGAGGGATCAGAGGGAGCTAAACAATTCAACCCTGGTTTTTTCCCCAATCGCAGAGGAATTAAGCCCATTTTCTCAGACTGCAGATCCTGAGGGATTTTCTTCATCCTTTTATTTTTTTTGCCCTGCTGACAATTCCCCCAGGCTTGTTAAGTGGCTCATCTCAGGCTGATGAAGGTTTTGGAGCAGATGTCAGGAGCGTGTGCTTCCCAGGAGCTAGGGTATGATCTTGGCAGCATCATCACTGCAAGGAGAACCAGGCAGGGGAATACAACCCCTTCGGAGAATATGAAGACAAATAGAAACCCAACAAACTCTGCAATGTGCCATGTCCTGCCCACCCACTTTGGCTTAGGTCTTCCCTTGCCATCTCCAAGGTCCATGGGGATACAAGGAGGACTTGACAGTTACCAAGGAGCCACAGTCCAACCCAGGTCAGCTTTTTACACAAACACAGGTAATTTTCCAACAGTCCTAAGGTGAGACGGCTCAGGCTTTATGACTGGCTTTAAGTGAACTTCCAGGGGCTGGTGAGTGTATTGGGTTTGGGTTCAAATCGGACCTTCAAATGTGCAGGTCCCACACACAGTTCCAGACTTTTGTCTGTCCTCCTCACATGTGAACTGGAAAATACTCTCTGAGGACTGGGAGAGGGGAATTATTGGATCTCTGCTCCACAGACAGCATCTCACCAGCACCCATGGGACCATCAGAACAGCATGGTCCTGGCATGATTGCTGCCATTTAACCACCCACTTGCCCTGCACCCACAGAGTACTCTGGTGCCTTGCAGGATCCCAAATCCTGCCAGTCAATCCATAAAGGATCTTTCTACTCCCTTTCAGCTGCCAGGATCCCTCAGCTCCCCCTCAAGGAGGCTGAATACAAAGCATGCTCCCCACGCAAAGGCAATATGCACACTGAGAGCTCTGCAAAGCCCACGCTCGGGCAGTGTGAGGGGTTTCTCCTTCAGCATCAGTGCTGACAAGGAATGGGAACACAGCTGGAGAGGGGCACTGGGCACAGAAACCAGCACTGGGGTCTGCTCTGTGCAGCTCTGATGGCATGAACACATCATTGGGTTTGCACAAGAAAAGGAAGCCCAAAAAGCCATGGAGAGGGGTCTGACCCCCACCCTCAGCAGGTTTGCTCCCATGCCTCTCCTGTGTCCTGATGACCTCCATCCTCTGCCCTGCCCCAAACCGTGAGCACTAGGTAGGGGCAGCACACTCCTCCCAGGGAGTAGAAGTATTCCAGACTCCAACTTCTATTTCCAACGACAGATAGAAAGATCACACCACCAAAATCTGTGGCAGTTGTACATTATCACTGTTTTCCCACATTTCTAGCACAATGACATTATTTCCCAATTCCAGTGCTTAGTTAACATAAGTATTTGTTTCCCCATGATGAGAAAGTGTCATTTTGCCATAAAACCATGTGCTTTCTGTTTGCTGATCCAACAGCAGAGGAAGGTCTCACCAGGAACACTCCAGTTTACTACGAGCCCTCCCTCCAACAGAGCACTTTGGTGCCTCTTGGGAATGCACCGCCTCCTGGAGGGAACAAAACCACCTTCAGGGTCAGCCACAAGACACAAAGAAATCCACCAGCAATGCTGCTTGATGAGAACACAAGGATTCCAGTGGTTTCCCAGCTGTTGGAGCCCTAGCATGGGATGGCATCACCATCTCCACCTTGACCAGGTGGGAATGAGGCTTTTCATGGTGAGAACCTACACAAGTTCCCAGGTTTAAAGCAAGCAAATGAACAAGTTTCTCCATAACTTGGATCCCAGCTTTGCTATTTGCACATATACAGAGCTACAGGTGGAGAAGAAACACCTTGGGGTGGCCACCCCACAGAGCAACACAGCTAAACCTGGTGCTACACGTGTTGCACCACCTGCACCAAAAAAAGTCCAGGTCAACCTCTTCCCATCAAACCCCCAAAACCAGCACTTTGACCTTCTCCTCCTTCCCAACCCTTCCTTGTCTGGTGGTGCCTACCTTCTAGAAGTTTTTTGGAACTGGTGGAACGGGGTTAGCACCTCGTGCCAAAAGCCCTTTCCCCTCCTCTTCCTTCCACACAGCGTACAAAACCAACACTTTCATTTGGGAGAGGACAAGGAAAGGGCAGCGAGTAAAGCTAATAGAGAAACAATAATCCACCAACAGTATTGGGGTAATATTCACCAGGATGGCAAAAAAGGGAGATGAAAAGCAGCAAGCACCATTTCCATATTTATAACCCAGGGCTCCACAGGAGGCAGCACGCTGGCATTGTGGCTGGGGGAGCCCAAAAAAAAGGGGGGAAAAATTCCAATTACTGTCATGGTTTGGCTGGGGAAATAGCGAGGCACTTTGAAGGCACCAGATCACAGAGGAAGCTTCCAGCACGTTCATGGCGGCAGCTGCGCCACTACCCCCCCCCTCGCCACTCTGCTCGCTTTGTTTGGCCACTGACCACATCAGCAAGTTGGCCACTGCTCCCAAATCCCTGCCTGGTCCCTGGAGCAACACCAGTTAGAATCATAGAGTCATCAAAGTTGGAGGAGACTTCTAAGATCATCAAGGCCAAACATTAACCTGTCATAGAGTCACAGGATTTTAGGGACTGGAATGGAGTTTAGAGATCATCCAGCCCCAACCCCTGCCCTGGGCAGGGACACCTCCCACCAGAGCAGGTTGCTCAAGGCTCATCCAACCTGGCTGTGAACACTGCCAGGGCTGGGGCAGCCACAGCCTCCCTGGGAAACGTGGGCCAGTGTCTCACCCCCCCTACAGGGAAAACTTCTGCCTAAGATCTAGCCTAAACTTCCCCTCCTCCAATTTGAATCCGTTACCCCCTGTCCTGTCCCTGCACTGTCACCCCTAAACCATATCTTCTAGTACCATATCCAAACACTCCTTGAACACTTCCAGGGCTGGTGACTCCACCACCTCCCTGGGCAATATCCCAGTTCCTGAACACCCTGACAAGGAAAACATTTTTCATAATACCCAATCTGAATCTCCCCTATCTCAGCTTATGAACCTTCCCTCTAGTCCTCTCATTGCAGACAGGGCAGGTAGATGGTGTAGAGCCAATTTCACAACAGGCACTGTCCGAAACAGCTTGTCTGGGGACAAACATTTTGCCTTACAACCAATCAAAGCCCCTTGTTGCTCAAATTCAGCCTTACCTTTGCAAGCCACGTTGTTCTCTGGCTCATAACCAGCCTTGCAGGTACAGCGACCGATGGGGACCATCCACTCCCCATCACCATTGCAGTACAGTTTGATGGGCACATCCACCTCCTCGGCGTTGGGGATGCAGGTGCCACGGGCAGTCACTAGAGAGGTGCTCTCCGCTCCTGTCATCGTCTCTGGGAAGATAGCGAAGTTCTGCACCACACTGGGGCACTTCTTGAAGAAGACCCTGACAGACAGCAGAGACATACAAGCCCCATAGTCCTGGAAAGCCAGGTAAAAGCCATTGCGGGTCAGAGGACCGAAACTTCTCACTTCTGTGTTCACCTTCATCAACCTGCCACCAAAGTCCACCTGGGAGAAGCTCTCGTCAGCAGCGATGGTGTCCACTTTGAGGTAGGGTGCCTCCGTCCAGAAGGCAGACTTCTTGGTGGCAATGACAGAGTCTGTCTCGTAGTAGTAGAGGTTGAAGGTCTCCTTGCAGGAGCCAGGGACGTTGGGGAGGCTGCTGCAGTCCCGCACAGTGAAGCGCATCTCGGTGTAGATGCGGTGAGCCCCGCGCCGGTTGATGAACGTGGTGAGGAGCCAGTTGTTCTGGTTGGGCTCGAAGACGTTGCACACCTGGTACGTACGGATGGTGTTGAGGTTTTCGTCGTAGCCACTGACTTCTTCCCACTGCGGAAAGGAGAAGGGAGAAGTGATGAGAAGGAGGCAGAGGAATTGGCAATGGCCATTCATCCTGCACAGGGCAGAGTTGGAAGGAGAATCCCAAAGTCTCAAAGGAGACTAGGAACATCCTTATGGACACAGAAAGTGATGCACATGCAGACAGACCACCCTGGGCGAGCACCACAAGTCCCTGCATGCCTCATTCCATGGCTCCCAACTGATGCTAAAACATCTTTTCTACGTGGGCAACCACCTTAGCTGCCCTGAGAACACGTAAAAATGGGAAGAAAGATGGTCCAGGCAGCTAGAGGTGGGAGAGAAGGGAGCACAGGAGGCTACAGCTTCACTAAAGCTCAAGTCAGCACGTGGGCTGGAGTGTGAGCCTGACCCCAACCTCCCAGCACAATGGGATCATTTCCCCTGGCAAAGAAAACTAACTAAATAAAACATTACTGCCATAGAGAGAGAATATAGATTTGCAATTCAGTTTATAGAAGGGCATTAATATAATCCAGGCTACAATTTCAATTAAGGGACAGCGGCAAACTGTGAATAGTCTATGATGGCATTAGAGTCCTACAGACAGATTTACAACCTCATAATCCATTCATTTTAACTAATCCATGTTTACAGTCTCCTCATAACAGCATTATTCATATGGCAATCTTTAAGCAGCACTCTCAGTATCATGGATAATTTCCAGGAATGATGCTACAGCAGTGCTCACATGTGTGTTTACATGAGGGCACAATGACAGATGGGTGATGCCAACCTGACCCATCAAACCGAGTCTTCCTGACAAGCTGATGCACCACAATCAACCCTGGAACTTCATGGATTTTGCCCTCTTCCAACAAACCATGTTTCTCAACTACTGCCCAAGCCTCCTCCTTGTGAATCCCAGCCCTGATATAACAAAAGGGGTTTGATTTGCGTTCACAGCAGGGCCCTCTACACACTGCCAACAGGCATGGCAGAACATTTGCTCCAGGTCCACCTACTTGGCTCCGCTACGCTCAAACCAAGATCACAGCTCAAGGTTGCATTTTGTTGTCAAGCCATGGTTACCGAGCCAGCAATAAAGCCTCCTGTATCCAGCTGAGCACTTCCCTTCTCATCCCATGTAGCAAAAGCACTGCAAAACCTCCCTCTTCTCCTGAAGAAAGGGTGTGAATTCGATGCCCCTTCATTAGCAGACACCTTTTCACAGTAGAAGCTGCCAACCCCCTGTCCCTGACTGAGGGGGTTGGCATTGTTTCCTGGTCCCACCTGGGCTTTGCATTACAGCCCTGTCATCCAATTAACACCAGACAATCAGCTCTCTTCCTGTCTTAACATCAGTCCCATGGCTCTGCTGTCTTTGCTGTGGGAATCCTCCTCAAAAACCTCAGAGTCTCAAAACTCAGAGCCAAAACCTTCCAGCAGACCCTGTCACACTTCAGAGTTTCCTGCATTTTGGAATGACATGAAACACCCCTCAGAAAACCCTCAAGAAGGTTCAGGGCTGGATCTTGGTGCTGCTTTGGGCATCCCTTGGGATGAGCACTCCTACAACCAGGCACTGAGAGCAGCAGGTCCCTGTGGCTGGAAAGACCCACAATGTCAGCAGCTGCTGCCACCGATGCTCTAACAGCGACAAATGCATCATTTTGATGAGATGCTACTAAATAATTCACAGGGAGCTGGAGATTAAGTCAATGTTGTTCTCTGCCTCCACTAAGATTTAAAGCACGTCCGTCAAGGAGCACAGGAGAACCCACATCCTGCCACAGCCAGTCCTCAGGGACCACAGTCCTGGCAGCCTGACTGGCATCGTGCCCTGGCACGAGCTTCACCAGCCTCCCAAGCCTCAGGGCAAATCTGTGAGCTGGGGTTGACAGTCATGGAGCTCAGCATGACATAGGAGGATGCCACCACCCAAAGGGACGCAAGGCCTGCACAAAGCCCATGCCAACAGCAGCCCCAGGGTCAGGAGAGGTGGCTCATCAAATCCCTGTGCCTCCAGCCTCAAGAGAGATGAGAGGAGCCTGGGAGAAGGCTGAAGCCCCAGCAGCAGCCTGGAGCACCTCTACCTCTCAGGAACAGTGTGGCCAGCAGGACCAGGGCACTGGTGAGGCACCTTGAACGGTTTTGGGCTCTTCACTACAACAAGGACATTGAGGTGCTGGAGCATGTCCAGAGAAAGGAAGGGAGCTAGGAAAGGGTCTGGAGCACAAGACTGACGAGGAGAGGCTGAGGGACCTGGTGGGACTCAGCCTGGATAAGAGGAGGCTCAGGCAGGACCTCACTCTCTACAACTCCCTGACAGGAGGTGCAGCCAGGGGGGGTCAGGCTCTGCTCCCAGGGAACAGTGACAGAACAAGAGAAAACAGTCTAAACCTCAGGGGAGGGTTAGACTGCATATTAGGGAAAATTCCTTCTCAGAAAGGGTTGTCCAGCCCTGGCACAGCTGCCCGGGGCAGTGGTGGGGTCACCATCCCTGGAAGTGTTTAAGAGACGTGTGGATGTGGGACATGGGGACATGGGTTAGTGGTGGCCTTGGTGGTGCTGGAGGAATGGCTGGACTGGATGCACTCAGAGGGCTTTTCCAACCTAAAGGATTCTTTGATTCAATCACTCCCTATAAAGGACTTGGCATTTTCAACACCTTGTGGAAGATCAAACACACATTGCTATAAAGCAGAAGCCTCCCCAGTAACTCTCAGAGGAGCAGGAGCTGGAATGCTGCAGGGACGCTCACAGAGGGATGCAGGATGGGGCTGGGAAGGGGCTTTGCTTTGCTGCTCCACAGAGGGTGAGACCACAGTGCCTTAAAACACAAACTCCCCACCCGCCCTGCAAGGGCTTTCAACCACAGCAGCTGCAAGCAGCTATTTATATCCCATCTCCATCACCTGCACATGCCCCTCCTACATTTTCCCAGCAATTTATCTGGGCCCAGATTTTTCCCAAAGCAATTCAGTAGCAAAGTCCTCCAATTCAAGGAGCTCTGAAGCATCCAGAGAGGATTTTGCACCCACTGCATGTGTGGGTCAGCTTTGGTGACAGTGTGCAACCTCATTGCTTTTAAAGACCTAGCCAAGCCAGTCACAGCCTAACAAAGATGCAGTTTGTCATCCTTTCCCCTCTGGTGTCACATCCTGGAGTCCCCAGGGACAGACCCTGCTGCTGCACCCAGCCTGTCTGTCCCACCACGATCCCCTCCCACCACCGCTCCTCTCCCCCAGCTCTATTTCTCTGTCAGGAGAATGTGAGTCAGGTTATTTTATGCTTCCATTCCTCAAAGGCTCATATTATATAAAAAAAAAAAAGATGTTTTAAGTGCCTCAGGGTGTTTTGTTCCTCATTACTTCATAAAAGTGACATTAATAGCCAAGGAAGAGCACTGCCGAGTGCAATTACGGATGATGTTCCAGGTATGAAAGCTGTTTTGAGCCTGCTAATGTTTCCTAATTACAAGCCTTTTGGCACAGGGAGAGGGAAGGGATGAGCAGGGGGATGGAGGGTGGTAATGGGGCCAGACCCTTTGCCTGGGAGGAGGACAGGCAAGGGAGGAGAGAGCATGGAGACAGAGAAAAGCTGCAACCCCTGGATCAGATGAGCACCTCAGCACAGCATACCAGCCCCTTGGGGCACTGCTGCTCCCCCTGTGACTTCCCCAGCTCCCCACCAGCATTTAAACCCCATAAATAGTGGGGTTCAAAGTGTGAACCCCACCAGATTGCATAAGGATAAGCTGGACAAGCAGCACTTACCCCCGAAGGTGGGTTGGCGGTCCAGCCCAGCTCGGCCGTCGCCGTCCGCGTATCCATCAAAGTTTCTGAGGAAACAGAAGAAAAGGAAAGCAAATGAGTTACTCCTGAAGTTTTTGATGATGTTATGAGCACAGAAGAACTCTTGGTTGCTTTCCTGGAATGTGGATCTGCCCCTTGGAGTGCTCAGGAATTGAGTAGCAGCTGCTCTAACACATCTACTGCATTAAGGGCAGCTTTGCTCCTGAGCAAACAGTGCAGGACAAGACTCTTCTTGCAAAGAGTCCCAGCCTGATCCCAGCCCACACTGCCAGCTCTGACCCTTCCACATCCCGGAAAACATCATTACCAGCTAAAAAAAAAGCATTCAAAAGTAAAGGATGCTGTATTTCATAGAGTCATCTCATTCCCTTCTTTTAGTCTTTCAAAAAAAGCAACACGAAAAACCCAACAAGAACAACAGCGAGAGCAACACCATATAGAAGCAGATGGGGAAAACCATCCAGGATTTATTTCTTTGTTCGCAGACAGGAGACATGCAGATGAGTTTCCTCCACTCCAGTGTCCCGACAAACGGGAGGAGGAGATGTGCCGGCGGCTGGCACAGCATCCCCCATCCCTCTCCATCCCTGCAGGCTCCCAGGTACTCACGGCAGCCTCGCAGCGCCAGGAAAACGGGTGCGACCAGAGCCATAAAGGTCAGGAAACAAAAATCAGTCCCGGAATCTGAGCTGCCGTCGGACTGTTGCTTTTAATCTCCCCGCGCCCGCTCCAGCAATCACAAGCGGGAAACAAGACTCCAATTAATCTTCCAACCCCTCCCTTCGCCGGCTGCTCCGGGATGGGAAGCTGGAGAAGCATGACCGGGAACTCCCTGCCCTGCCACAAGTGACAAACTCTCTCCCCCGAAATCCCAGCGTGGCCCCAGGCAGGCAGAGCAAGGCAGCAGCTCCAGGGATGGAGAAAGAGGGTTGGGAGCTGGCAAAGCTCGGCGCTCCGGAGCAGCCCCGGGATGCTGCAGTGGCACTGCCAGGGGGTTCAGAGCCCACAGCCCCCCTGCTCGGCACGGTGTCAGGCTGTTCCTGCTCACAGTGCCCTCGGAGGGACCTCTCACTCCCACTCTGAGCGGGGAACAGAAAAGTGGGGTGGCCTCTGCACTCCATGTGCCTCTGTACAGTTTCGGTCCCTTCCCATTTGGCAGAAGCCAGCTACAAACGATGCACCCCAGCTGCAGCTCCTCCCCAGCCCTGAATCATGGAATCCTGGAATGGAATGGATGGGAAAGGGCCTTAAAGATCATCTAATTCCATCCCCTTGCCAGGTAGACACCTCCCACCAGTCCAGGCTGCTCCAAGCCCTGTCCAACCTGGCCTTGAACACTCCCAGGGATGGAGCAGCCACAGCTGCTCTGGACAACCTATGCCAATGTCTCACCACCCTCACAGGGAAGGATTTCTTTACAAAATCCAAACTAAACCTGCCCTCTGGCAGTGGGAAGCTGTTCCCCCTTGTCATGTCCCTCCATGCCCTTATCAAAATGGGGCTAGACCTCCAACAAGTTTCTGCTCCCACCACCCTTCACCTTTCTACCACCTTCAAACCTTCCACCCTTTCCAAACAGCCTGGCCCCTAATTAAGCAGTCATTAATCCTTGCTACAGCCCTTCAAAGAAGCAGGCAGATGTGTCCACGCGCAAATTAATGCAGAGATGGAAGCAAAAGACCCTGCAAACATCTCCCAGTGCTCCCTGCCACTCCCTGGGGAGGGATGCTCTGACCCCCCTAAAATGCTTGGTGTTCTCCCCTCCAGGAACTTGTTCAAGCAGGGGAAACTGAGGCCACAGAGACCAGGGAGACACAGGGAGCATGGCCAGGCTGGGACCCAGACAGGCTCTGTGGTAAACCACCCTCTGTGGTAAACAAGGACACGCTCCGGTACAGGAAGAGCACTTCTTCCATGGGTTTGTTCAGCAAGGGTTTCACTCCATCATCTCTCTTCCTGTTCCATGCACTTAGAGCTTCCTTCCCCAGGGTTTGACAGAGGAATGTGCTTGTGATAAAGGACAGCTGCCCTGCGGGTCAGTAGCACGCAAGGACCAGCTCTGCTCCGAGGGGACATTCACCAGGACACCTCCCAGAGTCCAATCCCTTCCCTCCTCTTGTATTCCTCCCCAAAGGCTCCACATTTCGGAAGGAAAGTAGGAAGGCACAGCAGCAAAGCTGAAGCAGAAAACTTGAAAAATAACTAAAGAAATAAGTTAATAATAAATGAATAAATGGAAAAGAACCACGGAGAAAGAAGGTGTGAGAAAAACCACTTTGGAGGTTTCCAGAGTCCTAAGGGGACAGCGTGGCCTGTGGCCAGGGAGGTCATGCTCACAAAGTTTCCACTGCAGATGCAGAACTTGCACTTCTCACAGCTCCATGTTCCCAAAGCAATTTGCAAAGTAAAACAAAAAGAGGGCTGAGAGTCTCTACAGAATATCTCCAGCTCAGGTCCTGCCCTGACTCCTGCCATGGACAAGAGGATCCATAACCTGGCAAAATGGTTGGTTTGGGGTTTTTTTG